ACGCACACACACACACACACACCCGTGCCTGCTATCTGCCCAAACTTTCTAAATGCCAGCTTTGCAGCAAGCCCCTGTAGAGCCCTCCACTCGACCCGCTGTCCATTTCCGTTTCAACTCTAATTAACTGCTGGCCACCCCGTTGTACATGAAAAGCTCAACTGCTGGATCCCGTACCGACAATATCGCAAACAACACGGACACAGGTAGTGGTGCCCGAAAAAGAACCCAAACCAAGCCGAAAGCTACTCCCCAAGCCCAAGAACCTCCACCTGCAATTGCAAACTCCAGTCAGACCCCAAGCCCTCCACGAACAACCCAACCCCGTAATTCCTTCCGAATTTATCAGACGCGAAAGCGACAGCTGTTAGCTGAGAGCTGAAGCCAGCACCCGGTAGCCAAAAAGAGCCTGAGCCCTAGAAGCAAGCTTCGGCTTCCAGAACGAGGCCCTGACGACAAGGAAGCTCGGCAGGACTCGCAATCCTGTGGTTTCTTCCGGGGTTTCGGTGAGTTTGGGGCTGGAGATTCCAGGGCACCCACATGAAAATTGGAGCTGGTCGGCCCTCCTCTGAAAAAAAGGGCTCGAGACTGCGAAGCAAAGCTCTGAGATGTTTCGACACATGGACTGCCAGAGTGTCTCAGGCCTGCGGCAGTAGAAACAAGGCTAGAAGCAGCATTGCAAGAGAAATCTTAAGCCCTGAACTGGTCGAGCCCATACCTGCCACTTTCCACCCTTTGACGACGTGTCATGGCCCGAGATGATTCTTAAACTTTAAAAGAAAACCATATACACGAAAAGAGAGTCTGTGCATCCCAATAAGAAGTCGAACGCTGCCGATTCTTCAGAAGGCCCCGTGGGCCTCCCACTCGCCTTCCTTCTCGATGAGAGAAGTCCTCAGAGCACACAACCCTCAACCCAAGTTGAGCTGTGAAACAGGGTGCCTGCGCAGTTCCTTGAGGGTCTAGAACCCGGCACCACAGCTTAGAGAATCTTGCCCCTCAAAGGAGGCTGCAAGACTTGCCTCAACCTCCAAGGCCTTCAAGCCCGGGATCAGTAGTAGTAGCCGATATTATCCCCTAAACCCTAAACCCTATAATATAGGGTGTAGGGTTTAGGGGAATGTTTTCTTCCCATAACAGAAAGGCCGACTTTGGTCGTATCGGGGCTTGATGCCAGGCCAAAAGCGCAAGAGCTGAACGTCGGCCCCCTGAGGCCACGAGGACGAGGCCTAACTCCCTCAAGGAAACTTGACGGTTTAGGGTTTAGGGTTTAGGGTTTTGGGAACCCTAAACCCTAAACCGACTTGACTGACCTTCAAGTCCAGACGCCAAATACACTGCTAACTACGAAGATTCCAGCCAGACCCACAATCCCTGAACTTGGATCATCAAGCCTTTGATTGCGAGTGGAGGAGCTAAGGCCTAGGCATAGGCATTTCTATCCTCTCGCACCATCTCTATACCGTTCTCGAACGCTGGCAGGCGTAGGGCTTAGGAGCCCCAAATCCTTCATGGCGTGACGACGACGGATTTCAAGGTTTACGCATTAAGTCGGCGCTTAAAGTTGGAGGACGTGTCGACTTGCAGGCGATATGTGTCGCGGCTTGCGACTTATCCGTGAATTACCAGTCCGGATGCAATAGGCAAAGGCCTGCCCGTTCAACCTCCTGAGTTCTTCCTTTAAGGGTTTAAGGTCAGCGCCATCCATCTCAGAAGCTTGAGGTGTGTGCAACTGCATGGCTCCAAGAACTCTCTGTGCTGCCTAGCCGTTGCAACATCCTCTACAACACAGCTTGTCCTCGCGCGGTTGGAGCACGTAAGGCCTCATCCTCCAAAGGCTACTCTACTACTCTAGCATGTAAGGCTTCGTGTGGACAGCATCTGCTCATGTATCGCCATCTCTTTGTGCAATAAAGTGCCCACAGGGCCTAGGACCCATTGGTTTCCCCAAAAACCCTGGACCTGGCGACCTAAGGCCAGGACATGGTCGGATACAGCAGCTCCACCATGAGCATAGCCTTGGGCGTTGCATAATATTCCGCTGGCATATGTGACGACATCTGTCTGCGTCTGAAGGGCACATCAGGGACTGGTCAACTTGACAGTGTGTGCTCAAACCTGATCCTTCTTACACCCTCAAAAGGCTTGAACAAAAACATGCATACCAAGCTGAAGCCCCTTAACATGAGACCTCCCATCTCAGGCACACACTCTCCTCAATTACAACATCCACACGACATGACAGAGAAACACTTCCCAGCATGGTAGCCCCAGCCACAACAAATCAAAGAGGATCGCCTGATCAAAGGCAGCGCCACATTATGCGTCAGCGGTAATGCAGAACTTACACAATAGAATGGAAGTTTAGCTCTAGTCTACTGCACGAAACCCTAAGAGCACGATATGACACGATGCCAACAGACTGATCCTTCAGGCTACAGTTTGGGATTTTCAGGCAATTAAGTTCAGAGGACCTCCTGCCCGAGACTGCAGCCCCGAAGTGTGCCGAGAATCCGAACTACCCATACTGAACCCCCTTTGCGCACGACACCAAGAAGTTCCTGAAGTCCGTAACCCCGAACCCCTAAGTTAAAGTTCTGAAGCTAAGACATGACCCAAACCTTGGTAGACTGCGAAGAACCCAGGAGGTCATCACAACGAAGCAGAAAATGAAAGACCATATCAGAGTCCTGGGCGGAGGGACTCGGGGCTTCGAGCAGTGGTGGCCATTAGTACTCATTCAGGTTTTTTGCCTCCCACTCATTCAGTTTAGGAGTTTAGGGTTGAGGGGTTTTTCGACCCTCACACTCGCACAAGGCAGGCAAGGTAGGGTTGTCAATACCGCTGAAGCGCTGCTCCCAAATTTCGCTTTTCATGTCCACACGGTTTGGTGGGGTTCAGACACAAACCAGAACCACAGAACCACACACCCAAGACCCTGATCCAAAACACCGACGAGGGCGTAGGCTTGATTGGGATCAGTCAAGAGTCAACACCGTCCAGAAGATGTTTTGGCACAAAGCCCAACACGCTCAAATCTGTAATCCGGCCCGGCGAAGGCACAAGGTACCCATAAAGGCCCCAAGCCACAACAATCACAATCGTCACGCAGGTCATAGGGTTAGGTGGAACAAGGCTTCGTATTCAAATAGCCATTCAGCTGTTCCCTGTCCAGGTCTTGCCACCCGAACAACCCTGAGCCCTGCACACCCTGAGCACTAAATAAGCGTGAACACCCGAAGGCGGTGCCGGACCTTAGTATATACTACAAACCCCAAGGCCCAAAACCGTTTGAACACGAAACCATTCAAAAAAGCGCAACTTCCCAAACCCAGGACTCAGTATGGCCCTCACAGGGCATCAAGATGCCTTCAAGCCACAGCACTTCAAACCCACAACCTTCAATCATGAGTCCAAAAACCCTACATATTGAGCATTTCCTAGCCTGAATCCCCAAAAAAACCGCACAAACTCGCAAAAATCCGTGTAGCAACCCATGAAGAGCCTTTTCAGAATACTCCGAGCAAAAGTCTACCAGGCCTTGCAAAACCCTCAACGAAGTTATCGCGCTGTAGAGCCCGTCAGAAAAGCCAGGAACCGCTGAGCTCGGGAAGACACGAAACCCGAGGAAAAGCCTGTGAACAGTGACCCTTAAACTATTCTGAACCCTAAACCATTTTTTTGCAAGAGTCCAACCCTTTTTACCTAAACCCCAAGACCTAAACCTCAAACAAAGTACGGTCTTCAAAAAAAAAACGCCCAAGGCTCTTGAAGCAGAGGCCGGTCATCCGCACGAGCTTCCGCAGCTCCTCTAGCTCGTGGCTTGCTTGGCTTGAGGTTCGGGCATAATATAGGGTTTTGGGTTTAGGGTTTATGAACAAGTATTAATTAACAGGTATTCCGAATTACAGCATACCCCAAAACCTCCAATTACAAAGGCTCCGATGCTCTACCATAGGGTACTATAGGCGTTCTGACAAGCTTAAAGGCTTTAGGGTTTATCTTACGGTCTTCCTTTAATGGATTCCTGCTTAAGGGTTCTACTGGGGGATCCTTTAAGCAAGCGTTTTGTTTTTTGAATGGGGGTTGCTTTCAGGGTCTAAAAAGGGGTAGAGCAACGGTTGAAATCAGCGTTCTTTCATGTGTTCTTGTTAGGGTATTTTTTCCCTCTCGCATGGCAGAGATGAGCTTTGTTTGTTAGGGTATAGAGGTTAGGGTTGTGAGAAAGTACAGCAGCTGTTCCAACCAGGGTGCTTCCTCTAAGCGGCCCATACGAGTAACAGATTCGTTTGGAGTTTAAGGTTGAAGGGCTCATGTACCCATGTATCCATCAATCGTTCGATCTATCTACTACATATGTCGAGAGAGAGAGAGTCTTGTATAGTAGATACTGGGCCGTAACAGGTTTATTTCCTGTTCCAGTACACGGGCCCCATGGTCAGTTCAGTGTAGATTGAGCGTATGGCAAGTCCGGACAAGCCAGGAATGCGAAGACTGAGTGAAATGTCAGACCAGGATGAAGCTTGAGGTCGCAGCGAGGGGTTCTAGGGCCCGGTGTTTTGGTTGGGGACGGGTAGCTGATATAACATTCCACCCCTCAATGCTGCAATAGGCCCTCAAAACACTCCGCTGCCATGAACCTTCATTTAATAAGGTTCCCAGTCGGAAAGCCCCAAGAGCCAACCCCAAGACCCCCACGAGTGACCTGCAAGTAACGGAGTCCCCTCGAAGTTCATCTATGCTACTTCGAAACCAATGACAGACGCTATAAACCCTAAATCCGCGGCCCCTGTCGCCCCAAATTCCTTTGCCTGAACCTAAACAATGCCACGAAAATCAGGATAACCAGCTGCAAATGAGGCAGAGGATCGAACTGACCCCCGTCAAACTGCCAGCCCACCCAGCCCAGTCCAGCCCACAAGTCCTTCTAATGTAGGGGCCTGAATAATTAGAATAGGGTTGTGGGGTTCCCTATTATAACTATAGTATAATATACCACCAAACTCTATTCTAATTATTAAGGCCCCTACACTAGTCTGACAACATCCAACCGCCACTTCGGACCCTAAACTTCTTTATTACCCTACACCAGCCATTACAAGTACTCCTGACCCTAAACCCCGAAGCCCCTATGTCCACGGTACACGTTCCACACATCCCCAACCACAACTTCGTAACCCATTATAGAAGTTGAAATAGAGAGAGAGCCCCCTGCAAATCCCGGCGTCGAAGACCTCGGAGAACCTCTTTCCTTCACCCTTACAAGCCTTGGAATCTCATTGCATCTTATCACGTAAGAAGGCCCGCAGCAGGCTGCTGCAAAAAAAATGCCCCCAAAGACCAAACAAAAACTCTGTCCTTGAGCATCCGAAACTTTCGAAAGAGACGAAACAGCCGCAAGATGCGCACCACTCGCCTTGCAACATCAGCCAAGAAGTCCCCGACAAGCTTCCCAGCCAAATATTTCGAACTGGGTCTGGGGGTACATTAAATATAACTCCCGCATGGCTAGGGCGAAACCTGCATCGCAGGGTGAGAGGCCTCTTTCTTTTGCTTTCCAGGATCTAAAGGTTCGGTTGTTTTGGACCGGGTTCGGGATGTTTGAAGCTGGCAAGCGTACATGCAAACTTAATCGGGAAAGTGTCGGATCTATTGGTGCGCTGTAGTATCCTCGTTACGCGGATTCAGGCTTGCCATCCCCAGGCTTACATAGGCTTGACTGCCTTAGTCAGAACCGCGGCTTCTCTTTCGAACCCCTGATGATTGTGATGCTGAACCCCCATGCTGCCAGGCGCAACTTCCAAATCAACTCCCTGAATCCCTTTGACGCATCAGGATTCAGGGTTTGGACGGTTGGCGCTCGAGGGCTTCTAGGCCATTCCAGGCTGGGATTTGTCAGAAATCCATCGGGCATGAACAAAAACCAAAAATGCATCTCCCTGTTTTTCTCAAACCCCACAGCCCTGACCACGAACTCGTGCTCCGGAAGGTCACACGCCGCCCCAGCAGGAGTGGACGGTTGAGGGTTATAGCTGCTTAGGTAATGGCTCGTGAGTCCTTGGGGAAAATGAGACTTTGCATCCTTGATCTCATGCTTGTCAGGCTTTCCAGTCTGTTGGACCTGGATGGGTTGATCACGCCTTCAATACTGCATCACGTACCCTTAGCATCAAAATAGCCAAAAAAGCTTATATCATAGGGTTTTTGGGCCCAGAAACCTTAGAATATGAGCCCTTTGAGGGTAAGGGGTAAGGACGTGGCTCTTCAACAAAAATTGTCATGCTGGCTATTGAGGTTCCTGCTGCGAGAAGCAACACTCAGCCTCGACATGCTTGGCTTAATCTTGGAGCCCTAGGGGGTCTTAGTAAGTAGAATAGGGTTTTGGGAGATGTTACACTATAAGTAACTATAATACGGAGCCCCCACACTAGTAATTTGTAGGATCCTTGTCGAAGACTTGTCACAACCTTCAGCTTCTACCCCCGAAGGCTCTCTGTCTCTTGTCGGGGCACAGGATGCGAAGCAGTGTCACTTCCGCGGCATCAATCCCTACCTTCGTCCGCTGCGGTTTGGGGACGCGGCCAGATCTCAAGGGTTTAGAGCGGAGACGTTCACGAAGCTGCGGATTGCAGCGGTTGTACCGAAAGCCTGCAGCATGCATTGAATTTTGGTACGGTTTACCCCTGCCAGAATGGCAAGTCTCAGCCTACCTTGGGCATAGCTAGCAGTACGTTTACTTGGAGAGGCGTTCCAACAAACCTCTTTGCGTGGTCTGTGGTTCTCCCAGGCCCGCCATTCCAGAACGCCACACTGAAATAGATGACAAGGCTTGAGAAGCAGTCTACGGCTCAAAGGATATTTATGAACCGAAAATCGGTAACGATGCTGCGCATGGTTCGGTACTGATCTGCGCCCGTCCTCAGCCCTCAAATTAAGACGAAGCCTCATGTAGAAGCCTGAACAAATAGCAACATTATTCCGTAGGGCCTTAGCGTTCCTATAACGAAAACTGTTCTAACTGTTATACCACAAGATACGCCAAAATCTGGCCAGAACCCTCTGCCAATGAGAAAGGCCCCAATATTGATTCTGACAGGGCGGCCGTGCTCAAGACCAGCTGGGCAAGTCCGGACGTGACGATCACAACGTCCATGACAAATCCGAAGTCCTCCACCCGGCGATCCCGTGTTCCCACGCGAAGGACTTGTGCCAGGGATGTCTTGTGCTTCGTGACCGTGTGTAGGGCTTCAAGTTTCAAGGGGATGTGGCTCTCTGGGAAGTTCTGAAACTCTGGACCCTAAGCCAAGGCCCCTATGTGAACCCTGCAAGCCCTCAAGGGCCAGTCGAGTCCATGAGGAGCTTCGTCTTCCAGTGCTCGAACTCGACTATCACGATGGAGATCAACTCGATCAGGTACCTCAAGGGAGTGGAACTTCGGGCGCGCAGCCCCACACGACATGAGCTTGAAATATAAGAGTAGTATAAGGGTTTGGGGCTGTTATTCTGATATTTAGGAAGTGTCAACTCGCGAGCTCTCAATCTAAATGCAATCTAAGCCAGTCAAAGCGAGACGTAGTACCTACCACCCCCACAACCTCGAAACAAGGAAAGGATACAAAGACCTGGGTTCAACGGTATGTCATGAGTGCAGTCGTCAGAAAAATTAAGGTTGTGTGAAGGCCCTTTCGATCAAACTTCGCTTATGCTTTTGACGGCTGCGCACATCCCAAATAAAGCCCACCCTGCACTGTAAACCCAAACCCCAAACCCGAATCCCATGTAATCTCCCGGAGCACATGAACAGGCAGACAGTTGAGGTGACCTCAGCCCACCTCAGTATTTCGAAGGCTTGGGTGTTCGTTGAGGGCATCTGGGAAAAGCGGAGAGTACTACAGTACCGGTTATACAAAAGGCACCGGGTGTATAGAAGACCAGAATATACCGCGGCAGATTGTGGTAATCCAGGCATTTGGGCATCTTGAGGCAGCAGTTGGATTTGTGGGCGTCGCGGCTTTCCATGCGTTGGAGTGACGAAGTCTTTGGAAGCTCTGAGATCCTATTTGCAGTCTCGAAACAAAGATTCCCACCGAAAACTTGGTCATTGCAGACGGTGCCGAGAATGCAACAACTACGCTCGGGTGGAGACACTGAGAGTGGCCAACTTCCAACTGCTGAACTGGAACCACAGCTAAACCCAGAAAGGCTTTTGATTTGGCGTGGAGGAGATTGATCAGTCGCCTGCTTAGCCACTCCCCTCTGAGATTCGTTGACGACTTGGCACGAAGTCGAGCGGAGCATCCGCAGGCCAACGTCAGGGTTTCAGCTTGCAGCCTGAAGTTGCGCGTATTAGTAAGCCTGTACCACCGCCAAAGGCTCCTCGGCCCTTCTCTGTCAGGTGTTTGTGGCGCTTCAGGACTGAATGAAGTCTCTGGGCTTGATTTGCCCTGAAAGGAGCCATTAACAGGCGGTGGTACGCAAGACGCTCCGAATATCAGAAAACGCAATATCAAACACCACGGCAACCAGCAGACACGCACATAGAGACCCCCGCGCGCTCGCGCGCATCGCGTCGCGCGCGAACACACGCACGCATAGACGCGCTCGAACGCTTATCTCCTCGGCCTAGTGCCGGGCCTTGCTGGGTGGGCTGGTGCTGGAAAGGGTGTGGACCCCCGGGGCGGCACTAAGAGTCGTGGTTGACTCGAGGAGCACCCCCCTTTCCCCCACCTAGTGGCACTAAGGCGACAGTGCCGTACAGTACCCTATGAGGAACATTGGATCTCCGAATGGTCTACAATCTCTTGTTCTGAATCCGACGTCGACTCTACTTGCTACTACTACTGCTGTGCGGTATCTATTCGTTAGAAGTGCATGCGAGGCTGGTAGCGGTACTGCCGTGCAGGCTTCGAGAGGTGGTGTGTTACAAGGCTTCTCATACACAAGTGGTTTCCTCGAAATGCTTCCCTTGTGGTACCTGTGTTCTTCAATTTGAAGAGCGCTTGCTGCTCCGATTTGTCCAGTGAGGTAGTCGTGGACATGATTCATGGGTTAGTCGGGTCGTACTCGTATAGCAAGACACGGAATCTCTTGTGGATCCTGGAAGACATGCAGTATCCAAGCAGGTGCGACGGATGTAGACAGGCAAGGGGGTGATGTTCGTGACCTTCTCCTTCCATGGTGACCGTGGAATGGCTGGTGCAATTGACGATATCATATTTCACATTCCCCGAGCGCGGTCTTGGTACGGTTCTACCTGATTCAACACCCCCTCCCCCCTCCATCGGGTTGCAGCATTGGTGCTCCCCGCTCACTGACTTTTGGGTCGTAGCGTTGGTGCTCCCCGCATTACAATCACCCACCCGCCCAACTGGGTCGTAGCATTGGTGCTCCCCTCTCCCACCTCCGGGTCGCAGCATTGGTGCTCCCCGCTCCACGACTACCAGACTCTCAGAAAGGGCACACACTGGGAATATGGGACTACGTCAAGCGCGGCAACGGAGCCCTAGCGGACCCTCGCGAACCAGGGATGCTACTTTAGGGTTCATCTCGTACCCGTACGTGTAACTTGGTTCTGCTGCTTGCCTGCCTGCCTGCCCTGTTTTCGGAGCTCTGTGCCCCGCTTGCGTCTTAACCCATTTGGGGGCGGAGACAACGCGGGTGCCCATCCCCTTGCCGGGGGATGACTTCTCTCTCCCTCTCTCTCTCTGTCTCTCTCTCTCTCTCTCTCTCTCGAACGCTTATCTCTGACCATCGCTTTGCCCTCAAATCCGTATGTTAGCAGCCGAAAACTTGTTGGAAGATGGGCACGCAACTTTCGAGTACCACACGAAATGGATAAACTACATCTTCAAACTGTGGATTCTTCCCAGCTTTGCAATCTTCCAACTTTTGTTTGAGCAGGCACAAAAGAGCAACAGCAAAAGGACAAAGGACGTACCCAATTCTCTTGGCTGCGAAGTAGAGCTTCTAGAATCCGCCAGTCATCGCTTCCGCGAAACATAAAGTTGGAAGATTCGATCTTGAGGAATTTTAAAAAGGGTTTGGTACCTTGCGGAAACTGTATAGGAAAAGCATGGTCCAATGCCGAGACCTTAAGTTGGAGGATGCCCAACTTTCCGGCGGTTACTGTAAACCCCACAAGCCTCAAATCAGCTGAAACCCCACATCCTAAAACCCGAAAGCCTGAATCCTACAGCCCTTAATCCTCAAAAGCCTAAATGTCCCACCCTCAAACTTTTCAGCCTTGGTAGAACCTTAATCTACAGGCCCTCAATAATCCGATCAGGGCTTGAGGGATATGATGCTAAAAGTTATCATAAGGAAACCTTAAACTTAGCCAGGCCCTATATTACAGGAGGTCAGCATCTGCCAGGCAAGCGTCAGCGGAGTGGTCTGGCCGGCTGCACGGGCATCGATGTCTATCCAGTTCCTCGGAAGCTACGAGTGATAGAGTCTGAGAGCATTTTCAGCATTAGGTTTATGTTGAAGGTAGAGTCTGTTGAGTGGTGGATTATACACCCACTCCCACACACACGCACACACGCACACACTCACTCTGACCCGCGCAACAGATTCCCCAAACCCTTTTCTGAGGAGGGCTGCAGTGCAGATGTCCTCATGCCCGCCCCATGCCGAAGCTTCAGCCCTCGTGTCTGAATGCTCCAAACTGATGCGCCTTGCGCATCCAAGGCTCAGGCACAACTTGGAAAGTACACACTTTACAGCGTTTAGCGTACAGCTTGCTTGCTATGTCCTACAGCTGGGTTTCGACCTGAGAAAACGCAACATCCTCGAGCATGAATTGGAATGACAACCAAGAACCAGTCATCATCAATCTCGCCACTATGTTGTCAACGACCTCAAACCCTATACCCTAAACCTCAAAACCTGCACAGGTAAATGGTAATTCCTGCGCGTGTTCTTGATCATTCACGCACATCTTCTTGATAAATCGCGAGCTCGTCTCTGATAGATCTGGCCTTAATTCCCGAACCATGGCGCAATCAATTCTCAAGAGCGTTTTAAAAGACAGCTCCCTATACATATTTATATATATATATATATATACATATGTGTGTGTTCAATATGTATATACATATACACTCATGAGCACACTAGTTTGTCATGATCTCCGGGTCCTGTCACAGCGAGCACGACCACTCATGACGATTATGTCGCCACGACAGTGACGACGGAAGTGGACATAGAGCAGCAACACCGACGACGATGGCGAACACCGACAGCAACAAACATCAACATCATCATCACCAGCAACAACAACGCGAGAACGACGACGGCGGCAACCTTTTCGCACACCGCAAGCATGGACCACTAACAACAATAAGCACCTGCATCTGCTCAGGAGCACAGGCGATTGACAGCTTCTTGAACGCACCTATTTCAACAACTCCGTGTGGTTTCTGCTTGAGATCGAGCAGTCATCAAGCATAGGCATATAGTCTCGGTATGCAGACTGTGAGCAGAAAATGACGTTCTCTCGAGCGAAGTGGGTTGCTCGTGCACAAAATCCTAGACATGCTCGCGACATTACTCGTTAGCACCTAATTCTCCGAACACTCACCGGCGGCGAGGTTCATGCTGATGTCGAAGAGGATGACCAGACCTCGCCACAGTAAGTCAGTGTAAGCCCTCAGCTGCAAAACTGTGGAACTCATTGCCGCAATGCGACCTGGCTGTCTATGTGCGGAGGCCAACATCCCTTCCCAAGCGTGCTTGCAAAGCTAGCGAACGGAGCCAAACACCTGAACTATAATCGTGCCGTCTCTTCCTTGCTCGGCAAGGCTGGCTTGAGGTGACATGCGGTTCCAAGGTTAGCTACATTTCCTACGACTCCAGTTCTTCTTACTCCTCTTTCCGTTGAGTTTTTTCCTCAAAATGGTGGTAGCTGGTAGCAGCAGCGCCTGTGGCAGCGGTCGTGAACGTCATCGACTCATCGTCACAACGTTGCTTCTGCTACGCCTCGTATCGTTACAAACTTCGGCGCGAATACCTCGAACCGTTGAAAGTCAAGCGGCTACCAGCAATGGGTACACCAACCACAGGCAAAAAGTCAACCATGCCCGATGTCTAAGTCCTAACATCGACGCACTTGTCAGCATAAACGACTCCTACCCATTCAGGTACTTTACAGGGATTCTCGGTTAAGGAGAATCGCGAGTTGACGATAATTAGAAACCCCCCAACCCCCACACCGTAAGCACCTGTCAATCTAAAACGCCACTACTCATGTATCTAGGTCCAGGTGCTTTACAGGAATCCTTGTTTAGAACGCCCGCGACACCCAAACCTGCTACTAGTTGCTATTGCTCGAAGAACCTAGCACCACCCGAAAACCCTAAAATCCCCGTGACCCCGCCTGTCAAAATGTCCACGGTCGTAGTGTTCAGCAGCTTGCGTAGTCGCATTCGCCAGGTCACATCATCCGGGTGCGGCTGAGGCGAGACCAGGGCTGGTCTTGAAAAAACTCTTACTTGGTTCTTTCGGTTTAGGGTATAGGGTTTTAGGTATAGGGTTTAGGGTTTGGGGTTTAGGGGTTTAGAGTGAGAAGTGGGAATACCGGTGGCCTCATTCAAGTGCCCGAGTATAGACATGTTTTCCTAAGGTGGACCTTGTTTTCTGAAACTTCCACACAAATGCCTTGAGGAGGCTTTCTTACATGGTTGTGTCAGATAACAGGTGTGGGGGAATGGCGCTAGTGTCTCATAATGGTTTGAGACGTTGCTATTAAAAACCGGGTCTTACGCGGTTTGAAGGATTACGCAGGTGGTTAGGATTCGAAGGCTTCAGGCCTAAACCCCAAACCCACATAGTTGGGGTGTGGGCGGTAAGAAAGGGCTTGCTTTCGGACTGTTTTTGTGTTTGGGGTTGAAGGTAAGTCCCTGACCCAGTCTTAGTTCGAGGTACAGATCCCAGCAAACAGGGATGAGCTCCACCAACAACCCCAAACCTTGGATGTAAGGCCTCCGCGGCCCAAAACTTCGGATCACAGTTTCCGGCCA